GTGTGGTAATGGGTTACTAAATAATATATTAATACGTAAGCACCTGTAAATATTTACGTGTAACTCCCACATCGGAGTACATACGACAATATAATTGGTATCAATTTAAAGGCCAACCACTCCTCTTGGATGTACTATCAACTTCTCGGCTCTATGTCCTTCAGGAGTAAATATATACGCTATAGAATACAATTTTTTTCATTTTTCACACAAAAGTCAGGGTCCATTTGACCCGTTAAATATGGACCGATCTTTATCAAAACAGGCATGCTTATTCTTTGGCTCAATCCCCTTCTCCATGTAACAATTCGAGATGTTTGGACAATAATTGCGGCCTCTGGAGCGACCAGAAAAATCGACAAAAATTCAGTATTTGATCCATTTCATCCCCTAAATATTAACCGATCTTTACCAAAAACAATAGGGGCCTTCATTGGGCCGAACCCATCCTACATGCAAAATATCGTGAAGATTGGTCCATAACTGTGGCCTGTATCGTGTTTACAAATTATAATGGACAGACGGACGGACGGACACACATGTCTAGATCGACTCAGCTAGTCGAGATATGACGATCGGTATACTTAAAGGTGGGTCTAGGATCAATATTTCGCGGCGTTACAAACTCTTGGGGCTGCACAAAGCTATAATACCCTGACAACATAGTTGTGTAGGGTATAATAAGTCTACACAATAGTTGGTTAAAACCAGTAAGGAAAGTCGTAAAATCGGACTGGGCCGACTATTCACCGACCTTCGACCTTCACCACTATGGGTATATTCTACATATGTATCCTAACAGACGTCGTCTTTTTGAAGGAACATGGGGACATGAAATTGAACGAACATAAAAATGTGATCGTTATCTATATCAAAACCTATGCTAAATTTTGTAAATCGATTTAAAGCAAACATGGCACTTGGCACTATTTGTTATGCTGCACGGTTTTTAATCTCAATCAAACATCCATTGATTACTTGGTGTACAATTAACATGAATAGGTTGTAATTATATATGGAAGCTATGGAATATCTATATCTGAACCGGATTCAATGGAACTTGTCAGAGATTAATTTATATTAACTTCAGTACGTTTTGTAAATAGGCCTAGCTATGGATCTTTAGTGTAACATTTGCTTAAAATCGGACGAAAGTATATATAGGAGCTATATCTAAATCTTAACCGATTTTCACGAAACGTTGCACACATTATTCTGGACCTAATGCAGTACCCTATGCCAAATTTCGTGCAAATCGAAAAATATATATTGACTTTGGTACACCATTTATCTAAAATCGGACGAAAATATATATGTGGGAGCTATATCTAAATCTGAACCGATTTTCACGAAACTTTGCACACATTATTCTAGACTTAATTCATGCCAAATTTCGCTCAAATCGAATGATTTTCAGGGACGTTGGTGCGTTATTTACCTAAAATCGGATGAAACTATATATGGGAGCTATATCTATAATCTGAACCTATTTTCACGACACATAGCACACGTCATTCTAGACTTAATTCAGTACGCTCTGCCAAATTTCGCGCAAATCGAATGATTTTCAGGGACGTTGGTGCATTATTTACCTAAAATCGGGTAAAACTATATATGGGAGCTATATCTAAATCTGAACCGATTTTCACGAAACCGAGCATACATCATTCTATACTTAATTCAGTAGGCTATACCAAATTTCGTGCAAATCGACAGATATATAGGGTCTTTGGCGAACCATTTATCTTAAATCGGACGAAAATATATATGGGAGCTATATCTAAATTTGATCCGATTTTTCCAAATTTCAATAGGGTCCGTCCTTGGGCCAAACAAATGAGCTGTGCCAAATTTCATCCGATTTGGATTATAAATGCGACCTGTACTTTGTTTACAATTTAACATCAACTGACGGACGGACAGAAATGCCTAAATCGACTCAGGAAGTGATTTTATGCATATTCTTAAAAGGAACCATGGGTCTATCTCGATTCCTTTTGCCTGTTACAAACATATGCACAAAGACATAATACCCGGTACCACAGTGTGGAGAAGGGTATAAAAGTAACGCGTGGATTTTTTAAAAATATATATTTTTAAGGATCTGAAAATGGCATAGATTTTTAAGCGTGGCGTGTATTTAAGCTTGGTTGTTTGGAAATTATTATAAACGCTCCACAGAGGGCGTGGAAACTGTAGTACAATTTTACGGACTATTGTACGTATAATTGTTGATGTACATCATACGCTCCAACGGTCCCATAGTAGTGACCTCCATAAAACCAGGATTTGGTAAAAAATGTTTTTTTGTTCACGGCTTAGAAGGCGTGAATTTTTTAATAAATTGTTTTCAGGACCTGCTACTAGCTTAGAATTTTGGAGTAGACCTTGATGATTTTTTTTATTAAATAGTGAGGATTTTGAAAAAATATGATTTTTGGTACTATTAAAAATATAAAATTCTGATACAATATTATTTTTTCAATATTTAATTTTCCCTCATCAAAATTCAACTTGATTTTTAATTTCTCCCTTTAAAATTTATATTTTATTAAAAAGTCAATGTTCGCTCTTACTGCTTTAATAGGATAAAAAAAACAAACAAAAAAATAAGATACCCTTTATAACCACTGATTAAAGGCAAGCCAGGAGATTATATCTCAAAGAAACGAAAACGTATTGCATGGGCTTACATAAACGTGACATGTCACTGTAATGGAATACAATAACGAATGTGGGCGTACAGAAAAGAAAAATCAAATCAGATCAGCTTTCAATTTTCAATTATGTTCGCCTTTTGTAATGAATGAAATATGAACCACACAATGGGGTAGGGTTGTGAATAGTTCACATTGACATGACATACCCTTTGGGATATTTTTTTTCTGGTCTAACGATAGAAATATAAAATCAAATAAATAAATAAAAAAAATATTTTAAAATGTTAAGAATTTAATATTTAATGTTACTCTTAAGGCTTAATAAATTCCGCAAATATTTAATACGTATGTACGATCCATGCATACAATAACCCTACTGTTAATATTTTCAATAATTGACTTATTAATTCTTGAGAACTAAAGATTACTAAAGAGTTTTCTGTAAGAAGCCATTAAATATTATTTCCATTTCAATGATTTAAATATCTTTACGTCCATATAAATTTTAGTCTTTGGACATCCCCCCATCATCATCATCGTTATTGTAATCATCAGAATTACGACCATATTTCCTCATCACTTGAATGGCAAAATGTAAATGGCTTTGTCTCCATTATTTCACTTGACTGAATTTTTACAGGGAAAATTATTAACAATGCGGTGGATAATTTACTGATGTCATTATCAGTGTGTTATATTCAACTGTTTATTATAATAAGGAATTATATAAAGAAATAATAATGATTTATTAAAAAATGTATAGGCCTTGAAAAATATTCTTTAAAAAATCCACGCCTAGTATAGGCCTTGAGAAAATATTCTTTAAAAAATCCACGCCTTGTATAGGCCTTGAAAAAATATTCTTTAAAAAATCCACGCCTTGTATAGGTCTTGAAAAAATATTCCTAACAAAAAAACCACGCCTTGCATAGGCCTTGAAAAAATATTCTTTAAAAAATCCACGCCTTGTATAGGCCTTGAAAAAATATTCTTTAAAAAATCCACGCCTTGTATAGGCCTTGAAAAAATATTCTTTAAAAAATCCACGCCTTGTATAGGGCTTGAAAAAATATTCTTTAAAAAATCCACGCCTTGTATAGACCTAGAAAAATATTCTCTAACAAATCTACGCCTTGTATAGGCCTTGAAAAAAGATGCTTTAAAAAATCCACGCCTTGTATAGGCCTTGAAAATATATACTTTAAAAAATCTACGGCTTCTATAGGCCTTGAAAAATATGCTCTAAAAAATCTACGGCTTCTATAGGCCTTGAAAAATATGCTCTAAAAAATCTACGGCTTCTATAGGCCTTGAAAAATATGCTCTAAAAAATCCACCCCTTGTATAGGTCCGCCTAAAAAAATTCTTAAAAACTATCCACGCTTGGTATAGGACCTCCTAAAAAAATTCTTAAAAACTATCCACGCCTGGTATAGGACCTCCTAAAAAAATTCTTTAAAAAATCCACGCCTTGTATAGGTCCTCCTAAAAAAGAATTCTTTAAAAAATCCACGCCTAGGTCCTCCTAAAAAAGAATTCTTTAAAAAATCCACGCCTAGGTCCTCCTAAAAAATTCTTTAAAAAATCCACGCCTAGGTCCTCCTAAAAAATTCTTTAAAAAATCCACGCCTTGTATAGGTCCTCCTAAAAAATTCTTTAAAAAATCCACGCCTTGTATAGGCCTTGAGACAATATTCTTTATAAAATCCATGCCTTGTATAGGCCTTGAAACAATATTCTTTAAAAAATCCATGCCTTCTATAGGACTAAAAATATCATTTGAAAATTCCACGCCTCCTGTCTTCGTTTGAATAATGATTCTTTAAAAATAATAACTTCAACTTGTATTGGAGCATTGGAGCGTATGATGTACATCATCAATTATACGCCCATTGGTCCCTTGTTGATTTTTGTAGTACAATTTCAATCGATTATTGTTCTGCAAATTCAGTTCAATAAAATTTCCTACAACAATTTAACTTATGTTTTCCATAAGCCGAGGGATAAGTACACCAAGTTGATGAACATATTTTTCATGTTTAACAGCTACTGAGGCTAATCGCTCCACACCACGACGACTCATGCGGTCAGTGGAAATAATTCAATTGGAAATAAATTACTAGAGTTGTTGTTCTCGTTGTTGGTTTCGTCGATTTTTTCACCTTCATTCAACCTTCCGATTAACATTCAATACCGTTTAGTATTTACAATTTGTATTACAACAATTGTAATGCTTATTTTTGTTGTTGTTAGTTGTGCTTTAGCTTTTGATACCAGGTCATATATCCTTGTTAGTAGTGCGGAAAATACATTTCGATTTCAATTTTTTTTGATACTTACACCATCCGGATTAAATTTGGGTGAAGCCAGCGGTGAACAGAACTCTTGTAACACATCCTGTAGTTTACGTGTTGAATCTGTGGCGGGCGGAAAACCATTGGAAAAATAGAAAAAAATGGGAAGAGAAGAGAATGAGAGAGAAAAATTAGAACAAATTCCAATAAAAACATTGCACTGTAAAAATAAATAATAGACATTTAACTGTTTATTGGGGTGTGTGTGTGTAAAGGGGAAGGTGTGTAAGGGGTGCTGCCCTGGTGTCGATGTGTATTTTTCATTTGGACCAAAGGCAGGACTCGATAAAAAGGGCTATGAAAAACAACCCGTCTATTTAATTAACAATTAAAAAAATTGAAAAAGTTTCGAAAAGTTTTTTCCTTCAATTGCTTTGCTTGGTATACTAATTTTTATTTCTCTTTTGTTGTTTTTGTTATTTTTAAACTGAAAAAAATCAGAATGCTTCGCATTGGCGCCAGCACTCTGCAATGGCTAAGGCCATTGTTGGGGGAAAAAGTTTATATTTTTTATACGATCTGTTTGACGAAACGAAATTCTATTGCGTGTGGGATTTACACTACACTAAATAAGGATATGAAACAGAATTGTAGTCTTCGGCATTAAAGAATAATGAAGGTCCTAATAACAAAGTTTTTCAAGGCCTATACAAGGCGTGGATTTTTTAAAGAATATTTTCTCAAGGCCTATACAAGGGGTGGATTTTTTAAACAATATTTTCTCAAGGCCTATACAAGGCGTGGATTTTTTAAAGAATATTTTCTCAAGGCCTATACAAGGCGTGGATTTTTTAAAGAATATTTTCTCAAGGCCTATACAAGGCGTGGATTTTTTAAAGAATATTTTCTCAAGGCCTATACAAGGCGTGGATTTTTTAAAGAATATTTTCTCAAGGCCTATACAAGGCGTGGATTTTTTAAAGAATATTTTCTCAAGGCCTATACAAGGCGTGGATTTTTTAAAGAATATTTTCTCAAGGCCTATACAAGGCGTGGATTTTTTAAAGAATATTTTCTCAAGGCCTATACAAGGCGTGGATTTTTTAAAGAATATTTTCTCAAGGCCTATACAAGGCGTGGATTTTTTAAAGAATATTTTCTCAAGGCCTATACAAGGCGTGGATTTTTTAAAGAATATTTTTTCAAGGGTCTATAGAAAGCGCGGATTTTTTAAAGAATATTTTCTCAAGGCCTATACAAGGCGTGGATTTTTTAAAGAATATTTTTTCAAGGGTCTATAGAAAGCGCGGATTTTTTAAAGAATATTTTCTCAAGGCCTATACAAGGCGTGGATTTTTTAAAGAATATTTTCTCAAGTAAATGGATATACAAGGCGTGGATTTTTTAAAGAATATTTTCTCAAGTAAATGGATATACAAGGCGTGGATTTTTTAAAGAATATTTTCTCAAGTAAATGGATATACAAGGCGTGGATTTTTTAAAGAATATTTTCTCAAGTAAATGGATATACAAGGCGTGGATTTTTTAAAGAATATTTTCTCAAGTAAATGGATATACAAGGCGTGGATTTTTTAAAGAATATTTTCTCAAGGCCTATACAAGGCGTGGATTTTTTTAAAGAATATTTTCTCAAGGCCTATACAAGGCGTGGATTTTTTAAAGAATATTTTCTCAAGTAAATGGATATACAAGGCGTGGATTTTTTAAAGAATATTTTCTCAAGTAAATGGATATACAAGGCGTGGATTTTTTAAAGAATATTTTCTCAAGTAAATGGATATACAAGGCGTGGATTTTTTAAAGAATATTTTCTCAAGTAAATGGATATACAAGGCGTGGATTTTTTAAAGAATATTTTCTCAAGTAAATGGATATACAAGGCGTGGATTTTTTAAAGAATATTTTCTCAAGGCCTATACAAGGCGTGGATTTTTTAAAGAATATTTTCTCAAGGCCTATACAAGGCGTGGATTTTTTAAAGAATATTTTCTCAAGGCCTATATAAGGCGTGGATTTTTTAAAGAATATTTTCTCAAGGCCTATACAAGGCGTGGATTTTTTAAAGAATATTTTCTCAAGGCCTATGTAAAAAAATAGATTGCCATTCTTCCATTCTAAATTGTTAAAGAAATAATATTGCCGTCTCGTTGGAGTTAGTGTATTCCAGTTGAAAAGGGTTTAACGTTAAGCAATTAGAACAAATGCGGAGTAAAAACTCTTACCATAAATTCTATATTTGTGTGGTGAAAATGTTGTTTTGTTTTGTTGTTTTCCTTTTTATTGGCCGCGTAAGTTGTGTTTTTGCAGTTGCCTCCCTACCATTGTTTATTAAGTTAAGTTTATAAAATGAAAACTGAGTTCAAGTGGAAATTGGTTTGATGCTGGTCAAATGGTAATGGGTATGTTTTTTTTCACAAATGAAAGGCAAATGTGTAAATGGATAATTGTGGTGTATGAAAAAAAAATTAAAAAAAATAGGTGAGGGGAATAAAATTGTTAATGAAGTTATGCTAAATGTTTGCGCTTGAATATATATTTGTTATATATAATCCACACTTGCATTTATTTAATATGCCCATATATTTATTTAATATGCCCAGAATTTAAATAAAACCCTATGATCTACATAGCTTTTAATATCCAAAGAAAAAAAAATATATAATAAAGACCTTAAGGACAGTAGGGTTCTTAGACCACACATATCAAAAAATATCGTTATGCTCCAATGTGCAATGAAAAAAAATCTAAAGAAAATTTTGAACCTAAAGCAGACCTTCCAGGTGCTACAGTAAGGGTCTTTAGATTATTAGTCCACACACCCACACAGACACCAAAAAAATATTTCTGTTTTTTTTTTGTCTAAATCATCAATTACTTACATGAAGCCAATTCTTGAAGTTGTAAAAATTCCCGTGGTGACAATTTGTCCCATTTGTGTGCAGCAGAGGACATGGTGACTGAAAGGAGAAAAAACAAAAAGAGAAAATGAGAAAACAATAAGAAAACCACGTTAAAGACAAATAAGAAATAATTACAAATAAGTTCATAAATAATCTAAAGGGAAGAAGAGGGAGAGAGAAGAAAATATTAAGAAAATCATAGATACAACAAATACTCTAAAGAAGAAGAAGAAGAAAAAACATGGACTTCCAAGGGTTGTATTGTGTAAAAGTATTACTTCAGAGAGTCACACAAGGCGTAGATTTTTTTTTTAATTTTTTTCAAGGACTCACACATGGCGTAGATTTGAAAATACTCATGAAGAAACGATATCTAATAATTGAAAGGACTACCAAGGGGTGTATTGTATTAAAGTATTTTTTCACAAGGCGTAGACTTTTTGAAAATATTTTTTCAGGGACTGACACAAGACTTGAAAATATCCACGCCTTGATAAGCCTTTGGAAAAATATTCTTTAAAATATCCACGCCTTGAAAATCCACGCCTCATCCACGCCTCTTATAGTCCTTGAAGAAATATTCGTTAAAAAATCCACGCCTCATCCACGCCTCTTATAGTCCTTGAAGAAATATTCTTTAAAAAATCCACGCCTCTTATAGTCCTTGAAGAAATATTCTTTAAAAAATCCACGCCTCTTATAGTCCTTGAAGAAATATTCTTTAAAAAATCCACGCCTCTTATAGTCCTTGAAGAAATATTCTTTAAAAAATCCACGCCTCTTATAGTCCTTGAAGAAATATTCTTTAAAAAATCCACGCCTCTTATAGTCCTTGAAGAAATATTCTTTAAAAAATCCACGCCTCTTATAGTCCTTGAAGAAATATTCTTTAAAAAATCCACGCCTCTTATAGTCCTTGAAGAAATATTCTTTAAAAAATCCACGCCTCTTATAGTCCTTGAAGAAATATTCTTTAAAAAATCCACGCCTCTTATAGTCCTTGAAGAAATATTCTTTAAAAAATCCACGCCTCTTATAGTCCTTGAAGAAATATTCTTTAAAAAATCCACGCCTCTTATAGTCCTTGAAGAAATATTCTTTAAAAAATCCACGCCTCTTATAGTCCTTGAAGAAATATTCTTTAAAAAATCCACGCCTCTTATAGTCCTTGAAGAAATATTCTTTAAAAAATCCACGCCTCTTATAGTCCTTGAAGAAATATTCTTTAAAAAATCCACGCCTCTTATAGTCCTTGAAGAAATATTCTTTAAAAAATCCACGCCTCTTATAGTCCTTGAAGAAATATTCGTTAAAAAATCCACGCCTCTTATAGTCCTTGAAGAAATATTCGTTAAAAAATCCACGCCTCTTATAGTCCTTGAAGAAATATTCTTTAAAAAATCCACGCCTCTTATAGTCCTTGAAGAAATATTCTTTAAAAAATCCACGCCTTGATAAGCCTTTGGAAAAATATTAAGCCTTTGGAAAAATATTCGTTAAAAAATCCTTGAAGAAATATTCTTTAAAAAATCCACCTCTTATAGTCCTTGAAGAAATATTCGTAAAAAATTTTATAGTCCTTGAAGAAATATTCTTTAAAAAATCCACGCCTCTTATAGTCCTTGAAGAAATATTCTTTAAAAAATCCACGCCTTGATAAGCCTTTGGAAAAATATTCTTTAAAATATCCACGCCTTGATAAGCCTTTGGAAAAATATTCTTTAAAATATCCACACCTTGATAAGCCTTTGGAAAAATATTCTTTAAAATATCTACGCCTTGATAAGCCTTTGGAAAAATATTCTTTAAAATATCCACACCTTGATAAGCCTTTGGAAAAATATTCTTTAAAATATCCACGCCTTGATAAGCCTCTTATAGCCCTTGAAGAAATATTCGTTAAAAAATCCAAGCCTCATCCACGCCTCTTATAGCCCTTGAAGAAATAATCTTTAAAAAATCCAAGCCTCATCCACGCCTCTTATAGTCCTTGAAGAAATAATCTTTAAAAAATCCACGCCTCATCCACGCCTCTTATAGTCCTTGAAGAAATATTCTTTAAAAAATCCACGCCTCTTATAGTCCTTGAAGAAATATTCTTTAAAAAATCCACGCCTCTTATAGTCCTTGAAGAAATATTCTTTAAAAAATCCACGCCTCTTATAGTCCTTGAAGAAATATTCTTTAAAAAATCCACGCCTCTTATAGTCCTTGAAGAAATATTCTTTAAAAAATCCACGCCTCTTATAGTCCTTGAAGAAATATTCTTTAAAAAATCCACGCCTCTTATAGTCCTTGAAGAAATATTCTTTAAAAAATCCACGCCTCTTATAGTCCTTGAAGAAATACTCTTTAAAAAATCCACGCCTCTTATAGTCCTTGAAGAAATATTCTTTAAAAAATCCACGCCTCTTATAGTCCTTGAAGAAATATTCTTTAAAAAATCCACGCCTCTTATAGTCCTTGAAGAAATATTCTTTAAAAAAGCCACGCCTTGTTAAGCCTTTGGAAAAATATTCGTTAAAAATCCACGCCTCTTCCCTTAACAAATATTTTTTAAAAAATCCACGCGTCTTCCGGCCTTTACAAAATATTTTTTAAAAAATCCACGCCTCTTCCAGCCCTTATTTTTTAAAAATACACCCTTTAAATGGGCTGTTGAACAAATCCAATATCTCTCTTTAAATTAATTACCCAATTTAAAAATGAAATTCTCACATCGCTCATGTAAAATATTTATATTTTAAAATGTAATTATTTATCACAATAGTGTTGTATTAATTTTCGAACGATTTCGCCTCTCATCCAATGGCAACATCGGAGCAACACCATTTACAATGCCTTCGGCCACAGACAATATTTCATGCCCTGATCAGGTGGGGGCGGAGGTGCGGCTGTTGGTTTATTATCCATTCAATATTTTATAGGCAAACATTTAATTTTTCAATATTCTCGATTCAACATAACCTCATTAATAACTGAGATAATTGGATGGAGTTGTCGTCGTTTCCGATGATGATGGTCGGGAGGGAGTTGTTGTTAAATTGCAAATGGCTATATTTATATCCTTTCATGCAACAAATGCCAAGGGATTTAAACATCCATCTACCCAACCCTCAGAAACGACGGAGGAGGAGGTTTGGGTGTCAAGTTGTGTCCGGTGCCCGTTTTCATACAAAATTGTTACGAAAAATAGTTGACACTTCATTTTTAATGGCTATCATAACGTTTTGTCAATTAATTTTGATTAATGGCCTGTTTGGGTGTCGTATTGCTTTACATTTCGTTTTATTTAATTTTATTATGGGAGTGTTATTGTATTTTTATCCACTCTTCTCTATCATCACCCTTCATCGTCGGCGAGTTGGATATTGTCGATGGTCTTGCGTTCAACTTTTTAATTTATGTTGATGATAATAAACTATTTCGAGTTGTTTTTTATTTTTATTTGGTATGCAAATAAACAGAAATGTGGGTGAGTGGTAAATAGAAATAGAGACCCCCCAGTAAAGGGAGACAAAAATGGAATTGGAATTTAAATTTAAAGAGAAGGATAAAAATGATTTTGTAAAGCCCATATATATTTTCCGATTTGCACGAAATTTTGCACAGTATACTGAATTGTGTGTCGAATGATGTGTGTCAAGTTTCGAGAAAATCGGTTCAGATTTAGATATAGCTCCCTTATATAGTTTTGTCCGATTTAAGGTAAATGGTGCACCAAAGTCCCAATATATATCATTCGATTTGCACGAAATTTGGCATAGCATAATGAATTAGGTCTAGAATGATGTGTGCTAGTTTTCTCGAAAATCGGTTCAGATTTAGATATAGCTCCCATATATATATTCGTCCGATTTAAGGTAAATGGGGCACCAAAGCCCATATATATTTTCCGATTTGCACGAAATTTTGCACAGTATACTGAATTGTGTGTCGAATGATGTGTGTCAAGTTTCGAGAAAATCGGTTCAGATTTAGATATTGCTCCCATATATATCTTCGTCCGATTTAAGGTAAATGGTGTATCAAAGTCCCTATATATCATTCGATTTGCACGAAATTTGGCATAGCATAATTAATTAGGTCTAGAATGATGTGTGTTAAGTTTCGAGAAAATCGGTTCAGATTTAGATATAGCTCCCGTATATAGTTTTGTCCGATTTAAGGTAAATGGAGCACCAAAGTCCCTATATATCGTTCGATTTGCATAAAATTTGGCACAGAGTTCTGAATTAGGGCCAGAATGATGTGTGTTAAGTTTCGTGAAAATCAATTCAGATTGAGATATAGCACCCATATATATTTTCGACCGATTTAAGGTAAATGGGGCTGCAAACTACCTATATATCTTTCGATTTGCACGAAATTTGGCACAGAGTTCTGAATTAGGTCCAGAATGGTGTGTGCCACGTTTCGTGAAAATCGGCTTAGATTAAGATATAGCTCCCATATATATATATTCGTCCGATTTAAGGTAAATGGGGCACCAAAGCCCATATATATTTTCCGATTTGCACGAAATTTTGCACAGTATACTGAATTGTGTGTCGAATGATGTGTGTTAAGTTTCGAGAAAATCGGTTCAGATTTTGATATAGCTCCCATATATATTTTCGTCCGATTTAAGGTAAATGGTGCACGTAAGTCCCTATATATATCTTTCGATTTGCACGAAATTTGGCACAGCGTAATGAATTAGGAATAGAATGATGTGTGTTAAGTTTCATGAAAATCGGTTCAGATTTAGATATAGCTCCCATATATATTTTCGTCCGATTTAAGGTAAATGGTGCACCAAAGTCCCTATATATCGTGTCATTTGTATAAAATTTGGCATAGAGTTCTGAATTAGGTCCAGAATGGTGTTTGCTAAGTTTCGTGAAAATCGGTTCAGATTTCGATATAGCACCCATATATATTTTCGACCGATTTAAGGTAAATAGGGCTGCAAAGTCCCTATATATCTTTTGATTTGCACGAAGTTTGGCATAGGGTACTGAGTTAGGTCCCTACCATATCTCGTGTTTTAAATTTCGAGAAAATCGGGTTAGATAT